GGGTAAAAATATACTAGAATTCACTTCTAACTCATTTTTTCCAAGAAGCTCCGTAGCTTCCCTTTAATATGCGCAGTTCTGTCATATTCTATCTTTTCTCTGCATTCAATATTCCACAAGTGATCCGTATCAGTACGACGAGCACTGTACACTGCCGTGCTGGGGTGGCCGATGGGTTGTCGGCCGCTGAAAAAAAATTTCTGGGTTGAAAGTGAAATACGTCGGAAGGAGCATTGCAGGGACGAATCACGGACGCTTTTCACAGGGCCCCTGTGGCGCCGATGATGATGATAATAGCTAACGACGGTGCTTCGGTACTAGTTTGCTTGTGAACCGCTTTCGTGGGCTAGTGGGTTTGATGGCGGTCCGTTAGTATACTGAATTCTGTTTCAAATATCAAAACACTTTACTCCTGGATAAACAGGCTGGGATAATGTCGTCTTTAGTGGTGAGACCAAAAGGTAACGCATTGCTGTTGCAGCGGTTACTGCGTGAGAACACCTAGAGACCGCAATGGTGGAATTTTTTCCATGTCGAGATGTCTGGATCACGTTTCTTGACAGCACCATTTGTGCTTCTGTTAACGTCTGCAGCCCGAAAAAAAGAGCCACATTGTGCCCAGGAAGTCAAGTACAGGTCGGTGCTGCAGTTCGCTTAGCCTGTGTGCCTGTCGGAAACAGAAGTTTAAAACCGGGGTCACACTGCTTATATCTCATACCAATGACAGTCTGCATACAGTTTCGAACGCGAGTCACCGCGAGATTCGTCCTTCGAATGCCGCATGGCAATGTGTTCAAGGATGAAACTTGGCACGCGGCATTCGAACCACGACTATTGCGGTGACTCGTGTTTGCAGACTGTCTTTTCTATGATTAAGGAGCAGTCCTGGGAGGATCGGTGGCCGAGTCATTCCTGTTTCCGGCACTCGTCGAGTACGGACGCACGGATGGCTGGCTCCGCGGGAGCTGAGATAACGGCCTTATCGGGCCGCGGTTTTGAGACATCTGCTGTTCCTCAGGATTATCGGATTGTACTGCCGCCCCTGCCAACAGGTATCATCATGCACAACAGCATTTTTCTGCACTGCGATGTCTCGGGAAGGCCGTACAAGATTGGCGACTTCAAACCAGGGCTTCAGAGCGTTGGCGTCTTGCAAGACCTCAAGGCATTTGGTTCCTACCAGATGAACCATGTTTGGATTGCTACCTTCCGCTCACTGGCATCCAAGCAGAAGATCCAGGACGCAAAAGAACTGCTCGTCAAGGGAAAAAGGTGCCTCGTGCTGGATTCCAACAAGGCTGAGGTACGCTTAAAACTGCACTGGGTGCCGTGTGACGTCCCTGATGATGGAATCCGGAGGGCTCTTGAGCCTTACGGAACCGTTCAAGGTGTTGTTCGTGAAAGCTGGCATGAAGACGGCTTCCAAGGCGTGGAATCTACTACTAGAGTGGTGCGTCTGAAGCTCAAGGACAGCGTGACCTTAGAAAGGCTGCCGCACCAACTGCGCATGCCGCACGGATCAGTTCTAGTCATCGCCCCGGGGCGCGCACCAATGTGCTTGCGTTGCCGAAGGACAGGACACGTTCGACGTGAGTGCAAAGTGCCCCGCTGCGAACTGTGTCTGCGCTTCGGGCACGAAAAGGACGACTGCGTCAGGAGCTACGCTACAGTCACAGAAGGTGCGACCGGAAAGGATGAATTGGAAGACATTATGGATGAGGAAGAAGCTGAAGTCGCGGCAGGTGGCAGCTTGCCGGCCAGTAGCAACATGGACGTGCTGTGCCCCTTGGAAGCGGAAGCTGCAAAGGACAACACCCCCTCTCCGCCTGCCACTCCCTCGGCCTCCCCGGTGTCTACCGCTCCTGCGAAGGAAGACACCACGAACAGCAGTGCAGAGGTCAACGCATCTTCGAAGACTGCTTCGAACCGCCAGGAGGACCGCCCCACCTGCCAGGACCAGAGCACAGACGTCAAGCCGATGCAAGCTGCACCGACAGACACTGGCACGGCTGTTCCGAAGTTCAGGAGCTGTGAAGACTGGGCCAGCACGGATGAAGACGGACAAGTGCTACCGGACCAGCGCCTTAAATGGAAACCAGTCAGCCAGCGAAATTTTCGATACGACCCAAAGACCCGGATCCCGACTGAAGCTCGTCGGCAAAAGGACTCTCAGTAGGTTCTTGCATGCACTGTGATGCTTTCTGGCGCATTTCTTCTTGTTTGATGCATAACCCCCTTGATATGAGTGTGGTGAGAAAAGTACTTGCATTAACTCGCAGTGTTCTATTTAAAAAGAGTTACTTTTAATTGCGTTAGCTTAATTGCACGAAAGAGACAACAGTGGTTACTGAACACCCTCTTAGCAGAAAGAGTTCACGTCGCACTACTGCAAGAAACTAAATTAACCGCTCAGCATGCTAATCAGGCCGTCCAATTTTTCGAAAACCACTTTGAACTCCGGTATGTCAACGCCATTTCACATAGTGCGGGGACAGCCGTACTAATTAAAAAGAAAAGCGGCATTACAGTATTCCCTGAATGGGAGACGGACCGGAGTGGAAGAATTTGCGCTGTAGACGTGCTATACAATAATGAAGCTATCCGGATAGTCGCAGCGCATGCGCCAAACCAACCGACAGAAAGAAAAGGTTTTTTTAATCAGCTCCGACAGTATATCAGCACTCCGGCACACACACTACTGGGGGGTGATTTCAACTGCGTGACTCGGGCCAAAGATTCGTCGAAGGGACTTCGACAGGACTCCAGCATAGCAGAACTTAAGAAGCTACTTAGAGATTTTGATTTGCAAGACTTAACTGAATTTGTACAAGCACCATCTCCCGGATACACTCATTGGCAAGGGGAATGTCACTCGCGACTAGATCGCATATATGCTTCGAGTGGCTTGGCGGCAAATACGATAGCCTATAACGTTATACCAGTAGCTTTTTCAGATCACGCTCTTGTTACGGCGCAGATAGGGAAGGAAAAAAAAAAGCAAAACTGCGATTCATCCTGGAAAACGTGGAAACTAAACGAAAGCGCGCTTGAGGAGGAGGAGCTTCAACAAGAGTTAAAAAGGCTTATCACAGAGAAAGCGAAAAGTCATGAAGTGAACGCTGAGCACTGGGAGCTGCTGAAAGAAGAAATAAAGATGAGCGCAATCGCCTTCTGCCAGAAAAAATATATGGAAAGGAAATCCGCTAAAAGAAACCTGATGAAGACATTGCAAACTTTAATAAGAGAAGAGAATTTAACACCTGGCTTGTTTACGGCTGACATTCAAGAATGCAAGGCCCAACTGCTGGAACAACTAGAGGAAGAATATCGAGGTGCTATGGTGAGGTCAAGGTTACGCACGCTCGAACGGTCAGAAGACCCCACAAAGATATTTAAAACGCGCGAACGTGAGCGCGCGTGCCGCAACAACATCCATGAACTTCAGAGCGGAGAAAACATACTCTCGAAACCCGAAGAAATAGAATTAGAGTTAGTCGCCTTTTTTAGTAAAATGTTAGGTGAACAAAAATCTCCGAACAGACAAGCAATGAAGGAAGTGCTAGCAGTTATGCCCAAGGTACCGGAGAAACTGGTGGAGTGCCTTAACGGGCCCATCAGTGAGGCGGAGGTACAATGTGCAATTAAGGATCTGGCACCAAGGAAGTCACCCGGGGTTGATGGGCTCGGCGCAGCTTTCTACAAAATGTTTTCATCGGAACTAGTGCCAGTTTTAACGAAAGTGTATGCGGATATATATAATCAAAACCTCCTTCCACCTTCAATGCGACAGGCAACAACGGTACTAATTCCAAAGCGGAAAAGCGATGGGTCAATCAGAAGTAGCGAAGACTTTCGACCAATAAGCCTTCTGACAACGGATTATAAGATCCTAGCAAAAATCATATCAAAACGCCTCGAAGTTGCATTCCATACCATTGTTGGAAATCATCAAACGTATGGTTTCAAAAATAGATCGATATTCACTAATCTGCATACAATGAGGATTATAGCAGAAACGGCAGAAGCGATGGGACGTCCTACGGCTGTCCTACAAATATATTTAAAAAAAGCGTTTGACAAAGTGTGTCACTCCTTCTTATTTTCATTATTAGAGCACTGTGGAACCGGACAACTTCTGGTCAGTTTCATCAAAATATGTTACAGGGACATAAGCACACGGATCCTTATCAATGGACGCAAGTCACGCTCCATTCCCGTGAAGTCGTCGGTACGCCAAGGATGCCCAATGTCGCCCATACTTTTTGCTATCTATCTAGAACCGATGTGTAAGGCAATCTTGAATGACGTAATCATAGAAGGCGCAAGCCTGGGTGCAACGTCAGCACGGTTGCTGGCTTACGCGGATGACGTCACCCTAATTGGTCAAAATCAGAAAGATTTAGTGCGGGCCGTAGAACTTGTAAGGCAGTTTAGCGACGTTTCTGGAGCTGAAATTAACCCCAAAAAGTCTGTTGGAGCCTGGCTGGGGCCGTGGGCATCCAAGCCAAAACAATTCTTGGGCATCATGTGGTCCACATCCATTTCCAACTATCTTGGGGTTGGGCTGGGCACAGAGCAGCTAAGGACCGGACTGGATGGCATTCACCTGAGCACACTGAGGGCCAAACTTCCAGAATGGCAGGGCAGATACGTGCCGCTACTGAACAAAGCGGTTATTAGTAATACAGTATTTTTTTCCACTGTCTGGTATTCGGCGCAAGCTGTTCCATATAGGCAACTCGACGTGCAAAAAGTGCATCGGTTTTGTGCAACGTTTGTGTGGGGCTCTGGGTTTGAAAGAATGCGCAGAAACAATCTCTTTATCAGCAAGCAGAAGGGAGGGCTGGGACTTGCAAACCTAGACATAAAATTGAAAGTGCAACGTTTCCTTGTCTTCCGAAACCGAGCAACCAGCCCGGTGTTGATGGCGGCGTTAAAGGAGCTCGGTGGACCATATCTGGCTCCATGGACTAAAGAAACCGTTGGCACTCCAGAAAGGACCTCGATCCTACGATACTATAGAGAAATTAGAGATGCGATTCGTTTTTTTGAAGAACGTTTTTCGTGGGAATACCTAAACAGCGTCAAACGCAGACGTCTTTATTGGGACACTCTAGACCTGGTAATGCCGCCTCCAATGTATCGCCAAATGTTTCCTGGCTGCGAAAAGTCGAACGTGTTCAACCGTCTGGGTCTATACCCAGCTCGGCCAGGGATAAAGGATTTTTTTGTGCGCTTTCATACCGAAGTTTTACCGGTCAAGACCTGGGAGGAACAAAAAGGTTTTTTTCTGCCTTGGGGAGTCAATTGTGTCATTTGCCCTGTTCCCGAAACACTGCAACATACATTCATGTATTGTACTAATGCAGAACTATTTTGGGCTCAGCTCCGCGCGGAGCTTCGGATCGATCTATACCCAACCTGGTACAGCATGAAGTTTCTAGACACACCGGAAAAGCAACAAAGCAGATGTTACGAGCCCCTGACCCTGATCGGTTTGCATGCGATATGGAACTCGCGTACTGATCACACCTTGGTACGAGAACGAGGGAAGTGTGCGTGGCGCCACTTCTTAGAGGGATTTCACTACACGTCATCCATCATAAAAGAAACTTCGTTCAAGGAGACGGAACACTGGGAGAGGTTCAGGACCCTTTTAAAGCTATAAGGTCCCGAAGGTATTGCACTCTTTGGAAAGGTGTGGCTACGCAGACCAACGCGACAAACAGCGTCACGCTGAAAATGTGCGCACAATTGTGAGAGGTGTGTCAGAAGTGCTGACCTTTTAGGTTGTAAATAGCAAAATGTTTTTAAACAAATAAAAGCCAAGCTGGCAAAAAAAAAAAAAGGATCGGTGGCCGAGTGGGCTAGCGCACACCAGCTCGGAGCACGTGGAGCGAAAGCTCGCGCTGCAGAACCCAGGGATCCTGTGTTCAATCCCCACCCCTGCCCGTTTCGATCTGGATGAGCATCGTACCGGCGTGCGGTCGTGTATCACTACTGCGTGATGCACGTTAAAGACCCCAGGCTAGCGGTTGTACTGCACTGGCTAAATTGCTCATCTACAGCTGGGAGACTCGTCGCCCGTTGAGGCAGACCAAGTTGTAGGCTGTATAAACACACACACAACCCAATTTTTTTTTTTTTTGATTAAGGAGTAGTGTGAACCCTGCTTGAATAGACCCTTGATGAAAATCCGCCCCAACGCCTGGCCGCCATTTTTGATCACGCACTCTGAACATGTATTGGACGCGAGTGCTCCGTCAGCGTTCGGTGAGGCCTCGGACCCAATCACGCGCTTCCTGTCTAAGCAATGGCGACCGCCGATGTTGCTCGATGAACTTTTGAAAAGGGTCTATTGATGACGAGCTTGCTGAGCTGGCCCGTCAGAGAGTAATCGACTGTGGTTAGCGTAGTCCCAGGGGATATGCTCAGCAATCTTTTGTTGGCCCCATGAACGTACATCAGGTCTGTTAAAAAACGTCCGGGGATGTGTACGCAGCAGACTGATCTTGGTATTTGACAATTTTATTCTTAATGTGCATATATGTGATAATAGTTTCTTTGGTTGCGTTTGTTCTTCTGAGTCTGGATTACGATGAAAAGCCAGTTGCAGTCTCTTGTATGGGTGTTACCTTTCACTTCTTGGTGTATTATGATATGTCGCACAAATTTCAGCACCTGAGTAAGATTTGTTGTGCATAATGTGTTATTCGGCTGCCAAGGATACACTGTCAGCTTTCTCGTCTTCTAAATTTTGTGTCACCTGAAGAGGGTAGATTTCTGACGCACGTACAGGTTTACACTTTCAATTTATGTTTAATCGCACTGAAGACTGAACTAAGTTCCGACTTTTACGAGGTTAATAATAAAAACCTAGAAAAATAGATTGAGAAAAAGAGAGAGGCAAAGAGAGCGCCAAGAAAATTATGAAAGTATTTCACCTTCCAAGTTCGCAAAATGTGCGAAGAAACCTGCTTCATTTTATCATAACCTGGTAAAGGGCGTCAGCTAGTGGCCCTTGCGAACCAAGTATACAGCGATGAATCTGAAGCACGCGACAGCTCTCTTCTGGAGTTTTCTCCAATGGTACGACGTTACCATACTTCGCTCCGTCGCCCTGAGTGACTCGTTGGGGCAGTAGCTTTTGCACCTTTGCCAAGTAAAACAAGGCACGACTTGTATTAGCTCTCAATAAATCTTTCGTGTCTTTTGTTTTTACAGCGGAGCTGTTAAGGGCTAGTTTCCCCAGTTTCGTGTCCGGTACCAAACAAATGTCGACACAAAACTCTAGAGAGCCACCGCCATCTATGAGCGAGTGCGGCAACCAAACAACCAGTCTAGTTGCCGCCATCGCTCATAGATGGCGGCGATCTCTCCACCTATCATATAGAAGAATGGTTAGTTGGGCGAGTTGGTGGGAATTTCTCATTGGAAACAGCGCGAAAAACAGACGAGGACGAGGAAGAAACACACGGGACGAGCGTACAACTTCGCAGGTCTTCCTTCTTCACCAGAATGGAAAGGTTGACATTTTTTTAGGAATCATATCTACTGGATAACTGTCTACAAAAAACAACAACAAGAAAAACAAAACAAAACAAGAATGAAAAAAAAACGAAAAGAAGAAAGAAACGGCGTGGTAGGTAGGGTTTTAAATTCGTGACAAAACTCCTTATTTGTGATATTTTGTGCCCTGTTTGCCCCTTTTTTAACGTTTCAATAAATATCCGTGCGAAGTGTAGTGTTTTTTCTTTTCTATCCTATCGTTGGCCCAGGTTAGAAAAACAACAAGACAAGAATCGCCAAGAATGCAGTTGCAGTCGAGCATTTCTTTTTTCAGCAATCGCTGTTTGCAAATGTAAAATATACAGTACATGTGTATTATATGTCTATATCTGTACGATCCGTAATTGACGGGAAAAGACAAAACGCACTTGAAATCCAAGCACGTTTTGCGGCTCCCACCTCGTCGTCGAAGATGTTACTACACCGCGTTGGCGAAGAATCCGGGGGGGGATTTACATCCAGCCAAAGCAATTAGCGCGGATTCTCAGTCGGCTTTGAAAGTCGCAAATCACGCTGCTGGATATTATCGCTGGCCCGTGACAGCGCGCTCGAGCGGCACATACAAACTGGCGCTCAGCAGACGTAAAAAGAAAGCCGGTAGTCTGAACACGTGCAATCATGGCTTCGCGCGAAAATACTTCACACGCGCCGTGTGTGCCAGAAACAAGAGCGGCCGGTTTTATCCTAATGCGTTTGGTGTGAAAAGTACGTGTCTTGGAACTTGGAAGTGTACGGGTGCGTGAAAGCGTGTAAGACTGCAGTTGGCCTTATAGCTTGAGCAGCTATCATCTGTTATAGGGGAGATTTCTTTTTTGTTTGCATCATTAATGTAGCATAACTTCTGGTTTCTTCTAACGTACGAGTCAGTGCGAAATTTGTATGGCTGTTTAGAGCAGGCAGAAGGACACCTATTTTGTTCTAAAATGGTGCTTGATATCTCTCGAGTGTGTGCAGTGTGATGACAGAAAGTTACGCCGACGGGGGCGTCGTGTCAAATCAAAATTGAAATAGCTAAAAACGAAATGAAACTCATTATGACTGAATTTACACAGCACACGCTTTCGTTTCACAAAAAATTTTACTAGTTTTTTTTTTTTTTGTAACAATGGTCACAGCTTGGAGCACCTGGAGGGAAAGCTCGCCCTGCAGAACCGAGGGATGCTGGGTTCGATTCCTGCTTCTGCCCGTTTCTATTTGAATGAGCATTGTACCAGCTTGCGGTGGAACAATCACTGCTGCATGATTCACATTAAAAACCCCAGGCTGGCAGTCGTACTGCACCGGCTAAATTATTCAGATATAGCGTGTACCAGTGTCGCCCTACAAAGATATCTTCTCATAGCCTCTACAATGGACATTTAATTTGTTCCGGTTCAGCTAAACAAGCATAATTGTAACTCACAAACCACCCCCACTTCGAGTTTATAAACTTTAAACGTTGCGGAGCTTCAATTAAAATGATGAACAGGTGTTATGAGTTACAGTTTGTGCTTGAAGAGACCCAGTTTCTAAAGCTCATGGGAAACGAAGTAGAAATATCTTGGTGGAAAAACGTATCTGTATTAAGGATTTTATTACTTGTGATAAAAAAGTATATTACAAAGGAGCGTGTTAGGTTTTGAATAAAGAAGACAGAAAGAATAACACACTTAAGACAAAGGGACGACGGACACTTCCGTTGTCCCTTCGTCCCAAGTGTTTTTTTTTTCTTTCTGTCGTCTTTATTCAAAAAAGTACCGGTAGAGATACATTCCGAATTGTTAGGAACTGCTATTAGGAACCGCTATTATTGAATTAGCTTTTAGTTTCTGACACGTGACGCTTTATAATTGACTTATATGTTGTTTTTTTGTGTGTTTTTGCTTATAGAAGTTTTTACCGTGTGTGGATAGTGACTCCCTCAACACAATTTTCGTTATATTTCGACCTTTAAATTAAAAATTGCCACACCTTCGTCTGGAGCTTTTATACGGTCCCTATTACCATTGCCTCCACCAAAATTTCATAAAACATAAAATAGCTCAGGCGCCTGCCACTCATGAATGGACATCCATATTTCTCTCTCAGCCGCCAGCTTGCCGTGGCAAAGGCTGCCTTCACTGTTGATAATGACGATGATTGATGAGCCCGTGTCAGCTTTGTCTGGATGTGTGCGCAAGTAATAGGCCTTTCCGGAAATGTGTGGCGTCCGCGCCGTCTGCTTGACGCGTTGTGAAGTTCCGGTGAAGCGAACCTGCGATAAGCCAGGAATCAAAAACGAGATTCACACTGGTCTAATGATCTTGTGATTCAGTACTCATAGAAGTCATAACAAAATCAAAACAGTATATAAGGACCTTCTTCAGCCTTTGCGTTCGAGGGAACGAATCGTGCCGCCTACATGAAATACGAAGCGCTCGAGTCAGCATCTCCGAGTGTATAGATCGGAACATCCCTGCAATTCCCCTCGCCGCGATGCCTTCTTTGATTTTTTGGAACGGCCATAAAGTGACAGAAAAGGACGCCCTAGCAGCAATTCTTCGCTAACAAAGTGACTCTGAATTTCACTGCTTGTTTTGCATAATGAAGATAGATCTTCATGACGTAATGTGGGAGAAGTGCGCCATGTCAGAACAAATGTTTTTCAATGCCATAAATTTGAGGGTGCGTAAATATTTAGGTCCAAAAATAAGCAACGTCGGCCGTTTATTCGAGCATTTCAACAACACATGATCAACGCAGCCTTTATTTAAAGGAACCATGAAATGATTTCCAGCCTTTTCCAAATGAAGAATTCAGTTTATGTTCGATGTTTATGGAACCCAAAGCACGCATCCGTTTTCGTTTTGTAACCTCCCATTCTGCGAAAAAAAAAATGGAAACTTACGTTTGCTTTTTTTTTTTTTCGACTCGACGGGGACTCTGCCACCAACACGTAAAGTCACGTGGTCGTAACGTAACGCGTGCCTTTCTACCGGAAACGGACGTTCTCTCAGCCGAGTGAGGAAGCCGCGACAGTCGGGCGTCGCGTTGCATCGAAACAACGTTATTGCGTCGACGTTTTGACGCAAGGACGTTAAAACGACGTCACCTACTGAGGTTTTCATGAACGCCGATTGCTTCGTAGGACTCGCTGGTCCGCGACGCTTGCGCGATCGACGCCATGGCTATGGATACGTCGGGACCTGCCGCGGAGGAGTGGCGACGACTCAGTAAATACATTCAGTTAGTTTCACATTTCACGAACACAAAGCGCTATAGAAACTTCGTTTCTAGCGCTT